ACAAAGTCAATATATACAAAAGATGTTATTTGCAGCATAATCATGAAAAAAAATTTAGGATTTAAAAAAATCGAAAACCAATCCAATCCAAACCGAAAAAAATTGGATTGGATCGGATCGGTTTTGAAAAAATTCAAACCGAATGGATGATTACATGATCAAACCGAAAGGATTGGATCAGATAATTTTTGCTTCCAAAACCGATCCAATCTAGACCGCGAACACCCCTAATATTCACCTATGATAGATATAATTAGAATTTGTTTTTCTAGTTTGCTTAATAGTCTTTGAAAGATTGGAAACACGTCTTATGAACGTTTTGACAACATATATATAAGGCTTATTTGATGGTGATATTTATCATTGAAGGTTTTCCTATATCACATGTGGAAAAGAATGAAAGTCACAATATGTTTAGCATCGAGCTCAAAGATAATTATATGTCTTGACCTGTTGATCGAGCATCTTTCAAAATGGTTATTTCACCAATATTAATATATAAGTGACCCAATGATGGTCCATTCACTAAAAGTGAATACAAATCCATTTAGACCAAAAAGAAATTAATGAGAAAATATTAGGACCTGAAGTTCCTAATCTTAAGCATCTTAAGGAACTCTATTATACTCTGCAAATTGCAATCAGGCCTGATATTGCATTTGCAGTTAAAGTTCTAGCTAGACATAGTGTTGCTTGTAACATCCCGAGCGCTGACGAGGGCGGGGAGTGATCGTCGGTGCGAAATGGCATGGACAAGGAGCGGCTCCTGACAGGCTTCCAGCGGGGGTTATATGCATGAATGAATCGAATCGACACCCGAAAGGGAGGAATTCCAAATACTATGCAGGTATGAGACTGCACAGTTTGGAATAGCTTATAAGAATTAATTGGTACTACTTATACTAACAAGATGCATCTGCTTTTCGGTAGCCCGGAACGGAAGAACTCCATAGTTAAACGTGTTTGACTTGGAGCAATTCTGGGATGGGTGACCTCCTGGAAAGTTTTCCCGAGAAGTGTGTGAGGGAGAAAAAGCATACTGAAAAGTCTCGTGTTAGTATATGGGGATAGTTGTTGATTCTTGAAGCGGTCGGGCGTTACATTGCTCCTTATGACATTAGAATAAAGTTAATCATATTTTTGAGGATCTATCCATGATATGGAGATTTTACATTGGTGAAATACTTTGGTGTCGACTATATAGTCACAAAGTAGAGATGCATCTCTCTGTGGAAGCAGAGCCATCTCTCTGTGGAAGCACTGCAATGTTATGGAAGGCTGTAAAGTTAAGCCTAGTCGCTTCTTCCTTGATAGATTATTTTCTTTAGGATGAGTGAATTAATTGTGACTATCCCTGAAGGATGGAGCCTTGAAGCGCATGTCATGTACTCTTTTTCCTTCGCTAGTTTTTTCCACTGGATTTTTTTAGCAAGGTTTTAACGAGGCATGGATATTAGCACGACGATGTCCGTATGAAATGTTATAAACGGACATAATTACAATTTACTATGGGAGAAGATTACGAGATTGGTATTATTAAAAATTGTAACTATTACTCCATTGTCTTAGCTCCACAAGTAGCTATACGACTTAATTGAGGGGGAGTTATACGCACTGTACTCTTTTTCCCTTTGCCAAAATTTTATCCCACTGAATTTTTCTTGGAAAAGTTTTTAATGAGGCAGTCTATGTTAGCGTATAACAAAAGCTTGTATATTAATATTGTACTCTTTTTCTTTCGCTAAGCTTTTATCCCACTGGGTTTTTCTTAGTAAGATTTGAATGAGGCATATTCAAAGTGTTTAGTCATCCAATGAGGAGTGTTGTAAAATATGGATGACTTAAATCATACTTAAATCATATTACCGTTACGTTACCGTTTGTAGTAACGATACAATTATGGATGATGTTACTGTTGGCAGTAACAGTGTAATTATCTCTCATTCATGATTATGTAACCACCACACTAATGGATCATTACTCGCTTTTTTATGATTGTAATCTTATATATTGACATTATTTGTATTGGAGTAAAAAGCTGAATGAGAATTAGATTTTTGCCTTAGTTCTTGTTGTCTTCTCTCTTCCATTTCTCCCTTTATTTTATAACAAACAGAAGTTTTTTTTTCCCTTTTTTTAATATCATGAAAAAACTATTGGTCTACTCAAAGAAATAAATGAAGAAAATTGACGTTTCTTCTTTTTTACGTATCTTCTTCACTATCTCAAAACTCAGTATATACTCGAGTAAAAGGTTTGGTACTTGAGTACATAAGTACATACTCGAGTATTAGTGTGAATACTCGAGTATAAACTTATTTGAGGTATGAACATATTTAACCCATGAAATATACTTGAATATATAATATGAGTTGTATACTCGAGTATGAAGTGCAGTCAACGGTCAAATATGGACAAATTGATATTATATTTGGAAAAAAATGTTAAATTTTTAAAATAATTTAAAAATGGGGACATAATAATCATTTTAAATTAAATAAGGTACACAACCGTCAAAAAGCCCAATGTCATGATTTCAGAATTTCAAGAAAGCACTTGTGGTGACGGACAACCCTAATACAATAAACAAGGATTATTGTCACACCTAAAAAGCATATATAAAATCCTATTGAGACATTTAAAAAAAAAATCGCCGTAAAACTAATCGGTTACATCCGCAGTTTTATAAAATCAAAATGAATGATGAATTTAACACCTATGAGGGATTTTTTTTTTCTATTTATTGATCAAAGTAAAAAAATTAAAAAAAGTGACAAACAATACATTGTTCTTTTCTTCATATGCCACACATTTTTAATGTTTTAACTCTTCTTCTATTTATATATGCAGTCTGGGTATTCATTCTTTTTTTAATAAGCACAATAAAACCGATTTATGTGTGTGTGTGTGTGTTTTTAAACGTTAAGAATCAGCGATTTCAAAGTACTTTGGTGATGTTTCAAAAAACCACCCTTTTGTTTGGGTTGAAACAATTAACCTATCATTACTATGTGAATCCAACTATCAAACGTATCTGTTAAATCTATATCAAACGTTAAGTAATCCCCTGCATCTGGTTTAATAAGGTGAGTTTTAAAAAGTTTCTCAAATCCCTTCTCTTCTTCAACTTGAAGCATTTGATACCCTCTTTCTACAAAGATTAGAACCTTTTTTTTAGACACAGTAGGTAAACACAACAACTCTAATTTTCTTACCACCATTATTCATCATCTTCTTGCCATGCGTCGTATTTCTTGGTTCCTGTGTTCGACTCGAGAGTAAAAAATCTTAAAAATTGATGTTCCATTTCCATGTCTATAGTTGTTCATACTAAAACCACATTAAAATATATGAAAAAAAATCAAGAGTTATGGTAAAGTCAAATCAATACCTGCATGCCAGAGGTCCAAATCAAATCAGGAACATTTGAATACTTCTAATTCAACTATAATAATACATATTTAACTTTTAATTCCATTGTTCAGCAATAATAATATCATATTGCAAAATCAATGACATTATATTAGATTCCACAACTAATTGGGTGGATTAATTCAAAATCATACATCGTATTTCAACCAGTTCAACATACATTTCAATCAATTCACCAAAACTCGTTCAAATCTTTCAAAGTCATACATTACATTGAAGCAGCAGGGCCTTATCAAGACCCATACAAGTTTTCAATTTATCAAACTACACAACAGTCTAGAAGTGTAAAATAAAAATCAAATATGTCTCCAACTACACAACTCTCGTTATCAACAACCAGAAATTGTACCCATAGTTTGCGCTTAACAACCAAACTAAATCTTGTGTTGCAGCCTAAGTTCAATCTCCTGCTTTATTGTCCTTCAAGTTAAAAGCTTCCTCTATGTAAACCACCACAGAACCCCCTTAACCAACATATTATAAGTAACCTTATTGGGAACCAGGTTCAGTGAATCATTTCATCGAACAGGTACCAAGCATCAAAAGGGTGAGTGTTAGAAGGCATCTAAACTCATCAAGTCAGAATTCAAATCCATCAACACAAACAAATGACACACCCTTTCCCTCTCCATGGAACTCATCAATTCAAACACCAAATAAATAGCTTTTTTGCAAACCGAACAGTTTTTCCATAGAGGTCCTTTAACATCACCATTGCCTAAATAACTTTTCCATAGGAGAAAGCATTGAGTCTGAATAGAGGAACAAATAATAGGCTGAACAGTGGAGGTGAGAAGGAGTTGGGGTTAAAATTTTTTTGATTTTTTTTTTTACTTCCTCGATCTATAAAGAAGGGTCTAACGTGAAAATCTTGAAAGGTTGGTGTTGGAGAAGAGAATAGATTAATGGCAAAAAGGAATTTGAAAAACCTTTGAATAATTACTCAGATGCACCGGATTACTCAAGGTTGTTTAATATTTACTTAACGGCGTTTAATTTAAAGTTAACGGATATGTTTAGTTGTTGGAATAAGAAAGTAAATGTGAGTTAATTGCATCAATCTAAAGTTTAGGGTGGTTTTTTGAAACACCACCTAAGTACAGGGTAGTTTTATGTAATTTAGCCAAAAAAAATATTTTAGATAGCGGCCTAGAAAAACTAAACCACTGTGTTTGGTGTCATAGTATCTGACAAAATAATTTGACATGTTTATTAATTCTTAATTAAGTGAGTGATTCTTATTATATCCTTAAATATAATTAAATTTTATTTTCTTTTTAATATACCCAAAAAGAAATTCATTTTTGAGCCCATGTAGCATTAGACCATTAGTTATGAAAAAAAAATATTGGTAAATAATACCATATGCTGATAATACTTTGATTGTGTGGTGCGTGACGTGATGAAGACAATCTACTAGCAAAATTAGTCGAGGACCACAAGTTTGAAAAGGATCTCAGGTTTTTTTAAAAAATATATGTTAACATCTATGAAATGCAGATGCTCAAGGCTACAGTGAGACGACACGTTATAACGTAACAAACAAAATGTACATAGCAAAGCTCAAAATTTTCACCCCTCAAAGCCGTGGGCAATACTCAATTCACTAAAAAATAAAACAGAAAGAAAAAACTCCGGAAAGATGTTATATACAAAATTGTCTCCCTATCTGTCATTTGGGATTGAAATAAGATTGAACTCAGAAGGATGTCAACAAGGTGAAACACTAATCAATAAGTTCATCATAGATTGATTCTTTTGCTACCTCTACCTGACTGATCTACAGGATCCTGAGATGAACTGTGTATCTACAAATTTGTACGTAGGGTATGTGCCTGAAGAGCGAACGTGCCTAACCAATGCCATCTCCATCCCTTTGTCTGTCTTTCCTCCTTGTTTCCCCAGCGACAGAGAGGAAATGAAAATATAAGCCAGATCGTAGAAATACAAGTTTTACTAGAAGAAATCATCAAATGAACCCTCCTTTTCACTTTCAGATCCTGAAAATGCAACCGTAAAGAAAAAGAAAAAGAAAAATGATACTGTGATAGGTATCTGTATCCCAAAATAGAAGAGAAAGAACTGAAATGATGTTGATAATGTTGAATCCAAATCAGACCCAACAAGTTAAGCATATGATATCTCACAGAAAAGGAAAATTACAGTAATGGTGGAAAAATAAATTGCTGAAAGGAAAGGTGTCCTAGAAGAATTATAGTGCTTCTACTCACTCCCATATACCAAAGGTGTCCTAACTCCAATTTCCCAATAGCTTACCCCTCTAATTGATTCTCACTCTATACCCCCAAGTTTCCCTATCCCCCCATAACTGATTTCAGTGCCCACGTTCTCCACCTTTGCTGGGTCAGCAATTGGTTGAGTTTGGTCCGGCACAATATAATCTAATATTCTCCTGTAGACCTTCCTATGGTACACCTTACACTGAGATGGGGTTAAGGACCCAACCAGTGACAAACAATTATAGAATACAAACAAAGGATTTGAATGAGAAATCTATTATCTTTATTACCATAATGGTCTCAGCAGTACATTGAATTGAAGAAACTGATACAAGGGACTACAAATGGACAGAACTAAAGCAATACAAGTAACTACAAAGAGATGATAGCGTAGAGAAATTGGAGAGGCTCTGCACTCTCACAGACCTAAGTTCCAACCAATACTCCAGATACCCTTCTATGACCTCCTTCCCCTACTTAACCACCTCTGCCTGCCTTTCCTTGCTCTCACCCATTCTGTTAGGATCAGTTACATGAAGTTGTAACTGACTTGCTGACACATCAATAGAAGCCTGGGTTGGGGCCCATAACTTCCTTCCCTTATTCCTTTTGTATGTTTTCATGGGCTGGACCATATCATACTGTCAAGACACATTCTTTTCGTCTATTATATAAATAACAAAAGGACAATTTAAACATAATAAAAACAAGTAAATTAAAATATAAGCCATGCTCTTACTGTTATCTTTTATTGCAATCACTATCATCATCATCATCATATATGCATATAACTGTGTTAATATAGGAAGCAACTAAATCTTATTGCCACTACCTTAACTGTGATATTGCATAGTAAACCCCAGATTAAAAGCTGCCAGGTTCTCAAAAAGCGTATGTCTATTCTTATTTTAAAAATTCCATTTATAACACACATGACAGGATCTTTATATAGAGTTACTTTACTCCTCTGACTACCAAATTATTTTCTCCTAATGCAGTAAGCAAGTTCAATGGGCCGATAACTAGGACACTAACATTTGTGAAGAAAGATGGACTGACCTGATCCATCTACTGCAGTGATATCCTGAACTACTAGTTGAAAAGGTTTGGGCTTGGGGGAAGAAAGAGTTTCTGGATTCGAAACAGGAGCTGGAAACGTGAAATCAGAGTCTGTGGATGAAGTATCAGAGTTACTGGAAGCAACATCAACTCTAGCAATAGGTCGAAAAGTTGAACTCAATCTTGATGAAGTACTTAAGATCGTCTTCAGCTCGGCAACTTGACTTGACATGGAAGATATCATCCTGATACACACTAATTCAGATATAGCATTAATCAAATAGTATTCAGTTTTAAAAGTCATAATTTAAATCGTAGCAATAATCCATGTACTATATTCAGCTTCAAAACCCTAATTGATTATTGCCTTAATTTACCTAAAATCTATTGACCCTTGTATCCCAATTTTGTTTAGGTATTCTCTTCTGAAAGAGAGAATTGTTTACGTATCATCAGATATTTCTATAGAATTTCAATCCTATTTGTTCGCCAGGTCAGCAACAAGTAATTAGTTAAGTGATAGGATTAAATCACACATATTATTGGAAAAGCATATGACTTGTCAATATATATTAAACTTAAAACAACTAAGTTTTATTGTGTGTTTGTCTGCTAATTCTTAAAGAGTGTTTGTGACTACTGAAAGACCGACTTTGATTCTTTTAGCGCCTTCATTTGGTTTTATATTGTTTACGCAAGTTATATATCCAGCTGAAAGATAAAAATTCATCACTAAAAGTACAAAGAGAAAACACGCACAATTATTCTATGGTTGTCTCACTCATTCCACTATGCTATCCTCTTTCCTCTTGGTATCGTCGGGCAATGATTAAACCATTATTGATGGATCTTGGTATTGGAAAATCAAAATTGTAAGTAGGGATGTAAATGGGCCAGCGGGCCTAATAGGGACCTACAGCTTGACCTACATTATGCATGGCTCAGCCTATCACATATAGTCAAATAGAACAAGACCATACCTAAAAAAAGCATATCTAGAAAGCAGGTTGTAGACTTTCTTTTACATTCCAGGCCTATAAACCTACAAGACTGCCTATACTATATTATATATTTAAATAAATTATTATTTTAATGATTTTGAATAATAAAGTAATATTATTTTAATTATTTAATGCTTAATAGGCTTTAATAGGCTAACAGATCTAGGCTAAGGTTTTTGTTTTTCAAAGATAGGTCAGACCAAACTTATAATTTGGACCTATACAAGGCTAACAGACCAGACCAGGTCTAAAGTATATTACACAGGCCTGGCCTTTTTAAGGCAAAGCCTAACTGAACCCAGCCTATTTATACCTCTAATTGCAAGATTATATAAATAATCAAGGGAATAATAATAATACTACCTGTTCAATGAGTCCTGAAGCTGATATACTCTTTTTTCAGTTTCTGCAAGCTTTTTCTGTAACTCTTCGCTGGATCCTTCAGCTTCTACATATTTCCTTTCAAATTCATCAGCTCTTTGTTTTTCTGATTGCAACATGACCTGTGCAATGTAATAACCAGATAAAACTTGGTAAGTTTGAATTTTATAACTATAACCATATACCAAATATATCAAATAAAAGCACCGGATTATTATAACAGTGACCATGTGATTCTTCGAGTGATGCTTTGATCTACACCATTCATCCTTGATTCTTTTCACCTTTATAGATCATGGTCTTATATCACGCATTCTGTGACTATAAACTACAAATATGCACACAAATTCTCAAGTTCATTAGTTCTCAGTCATTACTGCCATCTGCATTTATAGATTGTTTGTATCTCTTTCAGCTTTAACTTACTGAGAATTTTCTTTGCCTTCAACATCAAACTAATTCAGCTTGCCTCCACCATAAATAGAAGAGTTCTATGATAAAAAAAATAATAGTATTGCTCTCTTACCTCTTTATACAGTAAATTTTCATGTAATTCAACAGAAACATACTGTATTATACTGAAAATCTAATTATGAATTATCTATTTTACAAATATCTAAATTTAGAGATTGAGAAGAATAATGACATAGTGGTATAGAACTAAAGATTCCTTTAAATTTCAAAAGGTCTAGAAGGTTGTTGAAATTATAGGGATTTAGGTACTGAAAGAGGAAAAGGACGAAAAAATTCTGAATAATTAAATATAACATTGATATATGGTGTGTGATGATATGTTATAAAAGACAAAACACTAACCCTTATTTAAACTAATAATGGACTCCTAATCCTAATTAAATGAGGAAAGATCATCAAAGATATTTTAAAATATTCTAAGATACAATAACATGATATTATGACATATTTTCTAGATATCCTAACACTCTCCCTTAAGCTATAGCTTACTAAGCTCTAAGCATCTTACAATAAAACACACTAAGAGAAAATAAACTAAAAATATAACACAGTGGCAGGCATCTGAGACAGGAGGGTAGGGCTAGAGCGTGTGGGACAAGAGGCGGATCCTAACTGTAGGAGATGAAAGCCATACTACATCTAGGATTGGAAATAGGGGGCCAAACTGCACCTGGGACAAAGATGGGGCCGAAGTGTCTCCGACTATAGACGGCAGGGCCAGACTCAGCGATCATCAATAGGAAGAAAAGTCATTGTTAGAATATCTAGAAGACATTGTACAATATTATGATTATATCTTAAAATAGTTTATAGTATCTTAGATGATCCTTTAGGATTGATTCTCATATTTCTATATATTTTATAATTTGTTTCCTTATTTTAGGTGTCTACTATTAGTATAAATAAGAGTTATTACTGTCTTTTTTATCACATCCTTCACAATAATATTAATATAATTTTATCATTCTGAGTATTCTTTTCCTCTCTCTATACATAAAAACCACTCCTAACGAAACCTCGAATAGCGAGGGTAAGAGTAAGGAAAATCCTTGTGCGCAACCTTGCACTTGTATTTTTGCACAAAGTTTATTTCTTAGATTCATACCTGTGACCTTGCCCTTTCTCTATACCTCAATCCCTATAATGTTAACATGATGTCAAAGCGATACCATCCTCCATGACTTGTCCCATCACTACTTTGTTGCTGAGTTCCTTAAAATCTAGAGCTCCATTCTATTTTGATGATTATTCTCTTCCTTTAGAATAACCTATAATGACCCTAAATGGTAAATCTTAATTAGAGATTTAATTTAAGGATTTAAATGCCATAATTAGATTTCGTGTGTGATTCCGAGTATTTTGACTGTAATCATGACTATGTTATGAACAGTGCGTTCTGCCGGAGAATTTACAGTTTTGTGAATTAACCGGTAGAGCTTAAAAAGAGCAAAATAATTTTAGAGTCATAATTTGATAATTCTGACGACAAATATGAGTTCAGAACGAAAAATTGTATAGTCTGGCACTTTCCGTGAAAATCTCGTGAATAGTGTTTCTACCGGGTATTTTGTACTGCTGTTTAAGCAACCGGTAGAGTCCAGAAATAAATAATTGATGAAATAAGAATAAGAAAGTCCAATATATGCCAAGCAAGTCAATATAGGCCCAAGAAAATGATAAGTTTATAAGTGTTAAGTTTCAAAAGTAAATAAAGTACAGTTAGTGATTCACAGTGCATTTCGTCAAAAACGGTGAAGAAACCATACTGTGAATTATGAATATTGTTTTGTAACAAATAAAAATTAATCTAAATGATTTTAGAAAAATAAAAATATGTTCGTAGCTTTAAGTTAGTTCCGGGTCAACTTAAGTTAAAATACGCGATAGAAAAACATCCGATGAAAGGGGCCACATGTGCCTATATAGCCTTGTCACTTAAATGAAACACTATTCATTTCAGATTTTCTTCTTCTCTCTCTTGCATGGCCGAGCTGCACTTGGAGGAGAAGGGGCTAGGGTTCCAAATTTCCTTTCTTTGATTTCTTAATCATCCATTCTCCAAATTCAAAGACCCACCACATGAAATTGATTGGAAACCACTCAATGAATCCATTCCACCAATCAATTTGAGCTATAGTTGAGTGTGTGAGGAGTTTTTCCTTCCCCCATTTTCGAGCTACTATTCATCAAGGAGGAGAAATGACATTTTTGGTGGAGCTTTGCTTGGTGAAGGCCTTCTAGGCTTTGGGTAGTTCATTGGAGGTAACAAAACTCTAACCTTATGGCTTTATTAGTGTGAATAATGTTTTGAAAGTCATGAGCATGGTTGGGTAGGAAATAAAGTAGTATAGAATGTGAAAATTATGATGGATTATTGTTATTTAGGAAGTTATAGTGTTGAGTAAGTATCCACATGTGATAAAATAATTGAAAAGCCCTATTGTATTTTCCCCCTAGGTTTCGGCCTTCATGGGTTATATAGGGTTCATCATGCAAATTTTTATTGTATGTTTGAAAAGGTAAAATATGTTGGAATGTAGTGTAAATGGATGAATTGGTGGAAATGCCAAAGTTAGAAAAAAATCCTACAAATACTTGCTCTATGTTTCGAACTATAGGATGTTTAGGGGTATATATATATTGGTTACATTTTATTCTAATAAAATGTGTTGCATTTTAATATACCATTGGATGAGCTAAGAAGTGAAATGCTTTGACAAATGGTTGAAAAATACCTTGAGTCCCTAAGGGTATGCCCGCGACTTTTAAAGAAAAATAGCATGATTTATGTGAAAAATTCTTAAGTAAATGCTTGATTAAATTAAAGAACGCCAACGGGTGTATAGAGGTCTAGACTTGTGTATTGGCATAGAATTGGCAAAAATATAAAGAAAGGAAAATAAGCGATAAAATGTATGCTTATGAAATAATCATGGTATTGCATCATTTTATTGATGCATTGTAAATTATTCTCTAGGTGTACCTAGGCATTGAGAAGGATCGGAAATCTCTTGAAGCGATAAAAGTAACTTGTTCCACAAGTAAGCGTATTGGTAAAGCTTCAAGAGGTAAGCTCTATGTTTAAGGAGTCTTTTCCTGCTTGAGTGCTCCACCATGGTTAGTGAACTATGGTTGGACTGTATGACTGTGATTTAGATGCTTTGTATAGATGCATTCATATAGAGTTATTTGATAACATGATATGTTTTGCTCTGATATGACTTCTGTAATATGATTTCTGTAACAATCTCTGGCCATTGATTGTATAGTACCCGGATGTCCGCTTTGGGGTCCTCCCTCGGGACTGATGGTGTACGCCTCTGATATGTCTGGTTCCGCTTTGGGGTCCTCCCTCGGGAACACGTGCGTTGATTTCCGCTTGGGGTCCTCCCTTGGGAATGACGACGCACACCTCTGATATGATATGGATAAATCCTCTGTTCTGTTATGATATTTGTTATATGTTGTATTCGTATACTCTGTATCTGACTTTCGTGCAGGAGTGAGCCAGGGGTATGGAGAATTCTCTATAAACCTGGAGCTTATTGAGATTTGTAATCTCACCCCTCTTTGGGGACATATTTTCAGGTGCCCAGATTCCCGGTGAGTCCTCACTAGGCAGGGACACGACACGTGGCTGAGGCAGTTGACAGATCGGATTTTGAGTGGCTGTAGGCTACTACCTTTTGGAGTGTTTGATGTCTTTTAGTATTTCCGCATTTGATGGATCACGATATTGATCCTTTATTTTGTATATGGCCTGTATATGTTTTGTACATGTCTGTCACTGGGATGCATGTACATTTGGGTATTCAGGCACGTTATATGATGATGTATTATTCAGTTTATGATTTTGTATTGGATTGCATGTTGATTAGGATAGTGGCACGGAGCCATATTTTGCATGCGCCCATGGATGGGTATCTGATGGTATCTGCATGACTGGTACTTCTGGATTACTATGCTGTATAAACTGTTTATCAGGAAATGCTTCTGAGTGGGATTGGAAAATCCCCAGTTGTCCGATTTATAGAGGAAACTCTGCCCGATTTTCGTTTACCCCGAGTAAGAATTAAAGTAGAAAAAGAAAAAGTTAACTCGTATTTTCGTAAGTTAAGTCTTCCGCTGTTTTCTGTTTTATCATATGTATGTTAATTGAACCGGCTCGAGACGGGGATGTTACATAACCCACCTTCTTTGCCCAAGAACATGTCCCACTGCCATCAAAAAAATTTCAGATGGTCCCGCTTCCTCGCTTTCTTCCTCATCATCAAGTTCTTGCATTTGTATCAACCTATGCAGCATCTGCTTAAGTTGAGAAATGCTGGAATTCCACGAACAGGCTGTGGTCGATCTTTTCTGATCACCTTAAAGAAGATCATAGAATCATCCATTTCTTTCCCAATCAGAGATCCGGCAAATCAAACTACTTTATTATGAATCCAAAAATAGAGTGAGCTTTCCAGAGAGAAAGAGAGATGAGAAAAGAAAGAATACTACTAAGTTACGAATCTAGTTTCTCTAAAGGTTAGAATTACAATAATGGGGGAAAGGAAAAGATGGAGAGTGAAGGAAAATGGAAGAAAGAATGAATATAAAAGGAAGTCCTCTTCACAAGGAAAATCCTCAATTCTACAACAAAGTATACAAAGATGTCTATCAATAGGGGTTAACCTCTCTTATAAGTTATGTACACTATCCAGGTTTCCCTCCTGACTCCATAACAGTATAACTCCTTATTAACTACCCTGGACTCCTACTAATTGCCCTCAACAAAATCAACTACTACCTATAGTATATTCCTTTACGAATAGACCTCAATATTGTAGTACTAGTGGTAACACAGAAAAAAGGAAAGAAATCTCCTTTAAGGGTTTCCCTTATAACTAAGCCATTGCTTTATTTTTCCCAAAATTAGCCAATCTCACCTCTCTTCTACCTTTTCCTGTATTTATACTGGTTCTCTAACTCTAACAACTTTAACAACCCAACATAGCTATTTCAACTAACAATACTCTCTGACCCTAACACTGTCCCATATCAGTTCCAGAACCTCTTCAACATAATATTTCCTGTAAATACTGTAAACTATTCTGTTGTTAGGAAAGATTATAAGTTATTTTAGGAAAGCAATCATTTAGCTGGATCTATACATTGAAACTAAAACATGTATTGATATACTATTCAAAAATAATATTCAGTCCTTTTTTATTCAAGTGAATATAATATTGATGTATGGTGTGTAATGTTTTACAAAAGAATTTAACCTTAGTTATACTAATTCCTAATCCTAATTAAATAAGAAAACAAATCATAAAATATAATGATGTAAAATACTCCTAAGAGATCATCTGAGATACTGTTAAATATTATAAGATACAATAATGATATTGTGAGATATTTTCTAGACATTCTAAAAAAGTAATAGATATACTATATTACCTTCAAGTTTTCTATTTCAACAGTAAGAGCCTCAATCTTTTCAATGTCTTCGAGAGGACTAGAGGAATCCTTGATAGCTTCAATGCTTTCATCATCTTGTAAAGGACTTGAGGATTCTTCTTGAAAAGGATTTGAAGGTTCTTCCACTGAAGGACTTTCATGTTCCACTGATATCTCCAAAACCTGGCATTCCACAATAGTAAACCAGTTCATGTTGTTAATGTCAGCAACAAGGACTTCAAGATAAATTATGCTAAAAGAGGGTCCTTCAGGTTTTTTCTGTATTCATTGTTGTCAGTACCTTTTGCAGCACCAAAGATATTCCAAATAATGCTTCTTGCTTAGTTTAAAGGAAGTAGTCCTCCTAAAAGCTTTAAGTGGCTCTGGAATAGTTTTGAAGTATATCTCTAACAATTACATATTCCTCTATTTATAAATCTTAATAGCTGCTACTAGTAACTATGAAGTCAAGGAATACAAAAAATGCAAACATATAAGAATCTAACAACAGAGTAAAAATATAATATACAACCTTCTGTTCATGTTCATCCCTGGAGTGATTGACGCTTTGTGAGATCATTGCCGCTTTCTTAAGGTTCTGATAATTAAAGAGAGCTTTATGACGCCGCCAATAGGACTGCATTTGTTTTGATTCCTTAAATTTCAGGCAATAGATAAGCAGTTTAAAAACACAATAACATTAATAAACCGCTCTAACCTGAATACTAGTTGAGGCACAAGTTTGCTTTCTGTATCTCAATTTATCACAAGCATCCATTGCCCGGAAACCTGTCTGCAAGACAATGGCAGAAAACTTTATTTTGGTGTACCATTTTCTGGCTAGTTTTCCGAGCATATGCTTTTGAATTCTGACTGCAGCTGCTTCTCTCTTCATGTGATAATATGATCTCCGAGCCAGTTCTCCTAAAAGTTGCAACAACCAAGTACTTAACGAAGTAAATTGATTACATGAATGCTTCTAGAATTCTGCACGTAGAACTTCTTAAATCTATGCTTCGGTTATTTCTCTGCAATAAGAAGCATTGTCTAGAGATTGAAGAGGATTTTTTTCAAAAAATATTTTATATCACTGGATGTTTATTTCAACTTTATTTTTCTTCTCAAATATCATTACCAGAGTTTCTTTAAGGTTTACCCCAAATATGATATATAATAATATTATTTTTCTTCCCCACTTTTTGGGGTTAGACTTTAAGACAACGCACAGGTATCCTCTTTTCGCATTTTGATGATAAATTTTCACTTATTTTGAAAACTATGAAATACAAAGGACTTCTAATTTTAATGAAATGAATGTTCATCTCAAACTAAAATACTTCATGTTTTCCTCCGCATGGAGTTACTCAGCCTTAGACCCTCCACATAATACAAAATTACAAATAACTGACCTCTGCAAATGGATTGCACAAAGACAGAGGACTTTCGCAATGCAATATATGTTTTCCGACTAAAATGGGTTTTAATCTGCTTTTGGATAACTGTTGCAGAATTGCTAAGCAGGCATGCTCTCTGGGCATCCAGTTCAGCCATCTGACCAGCTCTTAAGAATACTTGTGTTTCCCCTATCTGCAAAAGTAGCAGGGTCACAAAAAGTTCTGTCAAACGAGAAGAGCATTTTGCAATAAAGAATTTTGATCAACATAATGAGTCAGAATATGCATCCTTCGTCATAAATCAAGAACAGTTCATACATTTCATTTGAAGCTCCCAATCAAATGGACAAGTACCAGAAAAAGATTCTTGGAATATACTATAACAGAAGTATCTAAATGACATTAATTTTAATATTAAAGGATACGAATTATTGAGGGTAGTAAACAATATAAAATTCAATAGAATTCCAGTTCTACCTGATAACCTGTCAGCCCAACCTTCTCCAAAATCTTTTTACAAGAATCCTTTTCATCGAAGCTGCATAAATGCAGATAATTTTCAAGATGGGAAACCAAGTAAATGTCAAAGTAGAAAGCAATGACATCAAGACTATTTAGTAAAAAGAACATGGCTAAAAAGTTACACTTACCTCCCACGAAGAACCTCAGGAGCAAGAATTCCTAGCCGAGTTAAAAATTCATGAAAGGTCCTGTGTGTGGGGAATCCAGCACATTTAATTCTTACTGCTTCAAGAACACCCTACAATATCAACAACGGGTGCAACTCTATAAGTTAAAGGCAAGGGAGCGGGTATTGAAACTTGTAATTTCCTGTTCACATTCCTCGTACTACTTTTAATTGCAATTTCTAATTTTCCTATATCAAATATGAATAGACAAGAAGGAATAGGATTAAGTAAGGTTTGACTGAATAAAAACATTATTTAATTGACAGAAATTTTGGAAATTAATAGCTAGTGCAGGGTGAAAAGGAAAATGGAAGTACCAATAGTCCTTCCCTTAAAGCAAACATTGTACAACTTAATTCCAAAATCTACTTACACCAGAACGTAATTGTTGGATGACGTTCATATTCTCAAATATGCCAGGTTTTAATAGATTATTTGGCTTCACACATCTAATATAGTGGGGCTCTGTCAAATTGAGCGCATCCATCAATTGTTGTAGTTGTAGCTGCACAAATTAGTACAACAACATTCATTCACCGTTCAATTGTAGTAAGGCTTATCAGATAACATATTTCCTTCTGACAACCATATTTAAGATACCTTAAAACGAGAACCAATAGAAGAAAACTTAGCAGATTTGGCCGTCTCCTCAGATAGTGGAGGGAAAAGGCCTGATACAAATGAACATTTGGAAGAACTTAACATGTATTGATGCTCAGGAACAACATAGTCCTTGTTCTTGTCTATAAACTGCTCAGACTGATACTGGACCTGAAAAAAAAGTGCATAAATAGCAACTTTTAGATGAAACGCACTGTGAAAAAATAATAACTTAAATAGCAATCATGAAGAGTCAAACTCACCTCCCCAGCATAATGAACAACAGTGAAGTCTGAGCGTGCCAATTTTGGCTTGATGAAGCGTTTGTGATCTTTGAATGTCTGATAAAGCTTTTGTGAAAAAGTTTCATGAGTTGACTTTGGAAACATACTGCAAGCAGACAATGATAATGTCAATAAGAGGTATTAGTTATTCAAAAAAAAAAAAATTGCAACAAGCTAGCACGCTGCCTATTAACAATTTTGCAAAATATCATCAATGACTTCAATAGGATGAATTATCAGGAAACAACCATAAGATAGTTTACATTTTTTCTTGGAAAATTTATTGGTAAATAAGAGATCAAACTTAGCCATTATTTCAACTCAAAACTCATAAGAATAAATATCAATTACTAGTAGTGCCAAATATCAATGTGTCACATTCCATTGCTTGCAGAGATCTTGGACTGACATTTACTTAAACAATAACCATCAATTGAAAGATATAATAAATGGCACATTTATGTAACTTAATCTAGTACTTCGCAAGCTCTACATCACATATTCGGGTCATTGAATAAATGAGACTTTGATGAATGATTTTTCTTTTTCTTTCAATTATTCTTTTCCCCTTCCCAGTCTAATAATAAGAAAATTTTATTTATTTCTAGTAAGCACCCATTTCTGTATTCTTCTCTCTCTTATTCCAAACACAAATGTATATACAGTATAGTAATATAAGAAGAATTAATACCAAGCTTCATCAAGCAGAGAAATTATTCCACCCGGTTTCTGCAAGCAAAGTCATTTTTAGATATCAGTGTTACAACATTCTGACAGCAGATTCAGAGGTTACAATCTAAGCAAATTCCAAAACAAATATTCCATAAATATTTCAAACAGAAGTCCTGCATATAGCAAAATCATGTGGTGAAAAGCTATCATCACTAATGTCTTTATAACATGGCTTACAGAAGATAATCCTAGAATCTTTCCAATACAATGGCTGAAAAAGATATTCCCCCTCAACGCATCAATAGATCAAATAGTACCATATATGGTCCCTTGGCAATGAATCATGTGTATCAGTTCAAAACAAGAGAAGAGCTACTACACACCATCAAAGCAAGGCTGACCACCAGACATCTCAGTCCAGCAGCAGTCACATGCCTCAACAGGTTATCTGTACCAGACAATATCTGAACTAAACATAGTTTTTCTTCTAAATTAAGCAATGCTTATAAGATTGATTACACAGAAATTATGATTCATGTAAACAACCTGGCATTCAGAGGCACAATTTGGTAATTTAGACCCAGTAACAGTAGCTAATGACAAGTGTCTAGCAAACAAAGAGATCTTCACAAAGCATAATCTATCAGAAAACCTGGTTGTTATGGACTACGTTGGATACCTAACTAATGTCCATAAGTTATGGTTACAATCAAGTATTTATTGTATATCAAGAAAAAAGTATTTATCATACTTCATAAGATTTTTTTAAGTCAAAACTTAAATAAACAATTTCCATTATTTTTCTAGGGTGGAAGAAGAATTTATTCAGAGAAAGGAACAGATACATAAAACAAGGATGAGCAGTTCTTAAGAAATAAAATAATACATAATAAAAAGTTACTAGAGAATCCATGCAACAAATGTCTAGAAATGCCCCTTGATCTCTCTAAATATTGCTGTTGGGATCCCCTTTGCTAGGGATATTAAAATCATTGTTGAGCCTACTCATAACAGTTCAAGTTTTTAGGATATTTCGGTCTTGACAAGGTATCATTAGTTTCGGTGAACAAGTGGTAAAGAGTTCGTTCATTGTTGCGCCCATTCCTCATAATTAAGTTAAACTTAAGCACGAAGTAAAAAAGGCCTATGCAACTGTCCAAACTTCAAGCCTACAAGGCTCTTATGTGAGGAGGCATATTAGAGATATACAAGCCATTCTTGGGCCTTTAGTCCTCTATCTAACTGTAGGAAATTAGTAGGAAATTAGAATTAAAAATATTTCCGTTTTTATTTTCTATTAATTAGTGGATAGGACTAATGACTCATTGCTGAGTCATCCTTATTAATTCTTTCTCATTCTCTATTGTATAAATCTCTTTATCAGTGTAAATCATTGTGAATCAATATAGAAAAAACAATTCTTTTTATTTCAATTTGGTACCAAAGCTTTAGTGACCACGAGGTCACGAGTTCGATCCTCACCACCTTCACTTTTAGGTGGAATTAAGAAAAGCACAAGGCAAACCAATACTGGACTTGTGTCATATTTACGCTTCAAGCCCAAAGGGCTCTTACGTGAGGGGGTGTGTTAGAGAGATATATAATTATTAATTTAGCCTCACCCAATACCTTAAGGTTTTGGGTTGTAGTGGTTCTTAATATGGTATCAAGAGCGGGTTCGTTCCCACCCTAGAACAGCCACCCTCAAGGCTGAAACCAGTTCAAAAATCATCCAAAAAATCATCCAAACACAAACCAACCTCTTCCAAATCCCATAAACCATACCTATAGACCTCCAATCGAGAAGGTGGAGTAACCATTCTACTTAGAAGGTTCCAACGAGTTGAACGCCATCGGACACATCGCCGTCAGACGTCCCACGCGCCGCCACACGCGTGGTCACCCTCTGGCTCGTGTAGCCCACGCGCCACCTTCCCGGAATTTTTTTCCAACGCGACCTGCCCAGATCATCTTGTTGGCTCCTTCTCTACCTATTCCAGTGGTCAAATCTAAAATCGGAACAACTTCATTTTTTGATCCACGGTCAAACCTTCTCTATATTCATGGCTTCCTCATATCGTTCTTCCGCTTCCTTATTTGCCCCAAATTTTCAGTCCTCTGGAGACAACTTAGGTATGCAGATCACTAGTCACCAGTTGAACGGTAAGAATTGTCTGCAATGTTTTCAATCTGTTAAGTTGGTCATTCGGGCAAAAGGTAAGAAGGGTTATCTCGAGGGAAAAATTAAGAAACTTGCTGAGGATACTCCTGATTATGAAAATTAGGAGATTAATAATTCCTTGGTAATGGCGTGGCTGACTAATTCCATGGAACCACAGATTGGCCAAACCTATTTGTTCTTCGATACTGCCAAGGAGATTTAGGATGTTGTTCAACAAAATTATTTAGATCTGAAGAATACCTCTCAAGTCTTTAAACTGAGAAATAAGTTGAGAGACTTTCGTCAAAGGAGTATGACTATTACTGAATATTTTACTGCACTAACAAATTTATGGCAGGAACTGGATCTTTATTATGCATTCGACCTTAAAGGATTGGAAGCTAATACCCAGTTTAAAAAACACTTGGAGAAGGAACGACTTTATGATTTCCTTGCTGGCCTCAACCGAGATCTTGATGAGGTTCGTGGTCGAATATTGGGACAGTGAGCGTTACCCTTACTTGATGATGCCTTTGCTGAAGTTTGGAGAAAATGAGTCAATTGATAAGTCTGATGATATGCCTGCATTGGCTACCAAACGTACCATTGACCGTTCCTCTGGAGAATTAAAACGGGATGGTCGTCCATGGAGCACCCACTGCAATAAAATTGGTCATACCCATGAGAAATGTTGGGAAACCCACAGAAAACTTGCAAATCGGAAGCCAAAAGGACAAAAAAAAAAGGTCATGCATATCAGGTCTCTACTGATGACAAGGTTTATGAGCCTCGTGCATCATCTGACTCTGATGGTGTGTTTCTTAGCAAGACTTAGTTTGAACAACTTCAGAGACTTCTGACTCAACCTCCTAAAGCCACTAGTAATGTGGCCCAGCAGGGTACAACTTTCATGTTGATAGTCAAAATCATTGGATCCTTGATTCTGGAGCCTCTGACCATATGACAGGTAATCCGACCTTGTTTTGTTCTTACACTCCATACTCTGAACCCTCTCAGGTCAAGATCGCCGATGGCAGCTTCTCCCAGATTTCAAGACACAAAACCTTTAAACTTTCTGAGCATATTAATTTAACATTAGTTCTTCATGTTCTTTCTCTGGCTTGCAATCTCATTTCCATTAATAAGCTGACTTCTGAGTTGCATTGTTTTGCTAAATTCTTTCCACATAGTTCTGTTTTTCAGGAACAGGACTCGGAGAGGATGATTGACAGTGCTAGAGAGGATGGTGAACTTTACTACTTTGAGGAGGATGTGACTCATGAAGTTGTTTTTGTGGAAAAAGACTCTATGTTTCCTTTTGATTCATGTAATGATGTTATACTATGGCACTGTAGGCTAGGCCATCCTAATATTATCTATCTTCAGAAATTGTTACCAAACTTATTTATTAATAAAAGTCCTAATTTGTTTTCTTGTTATATTTATCAACTTGTCAAGCATACTCGTGTTCATTATCCTTCTAAAGCTCACCATGACTCTTCCCCATTTTCTTTAATTCATAATGACATACGGGGTCCAGCCCGTGTAAAGAATAATTCAGGTGCTCGATGGTTCATTACCTTGATTGATGACCATTCCCGAGTTTGTTGGGTAACCTTCTAAAGGACAAGTCAGATGTTGCATCCATTTTTAAAAAGTTTCCTGCCATGATTCAAACTCAATTCCAAGTTGCTATACAAATTCTTCGTACAGATAATAACAAAGAGTATTTTAACTCTATTCTTGGAGAATATCTTTCCCAACATGGCATCCTTCACCAAAACTCGTGTCCTGACACACCCCAACAAAACAGAGTTGCAGAAAGAAAAAATCGACATCTCCTTGAAGTTGCTCGGGCTCTTATGTTCACTATGAGTGTTCCAAAATATCTTTAGGGGGAAGCCGTTCTTACTGCCTCATATCTGATCAATCGAATGCCATCTCACACTCTCAACTTTCAGTCTCTTCTTTTTAATCTTTTCCGCACCTTCCCTTCCTTCAGAAGCATCTCCTCCCTACCTCTCAAGTTATTTGGTTGTGCTGTATTTGTCCATATTCCCTCTCATCAACGGTCTAAGCTTGATCCTAAGTTTCTCCGGTGTGTCTTTATTTGTTATTCTCCTACTCAACGTGGCTATAAGTGTTATTCACTCTCTCTTCGTAAGGTCTTTGTCTCTATGGATGTCACCTTTTCTGAGACTCAACCTTTCTTTCCCTCGACTTCTCTTCAGGGGGAGTCTATAGGAGCAGATGAAGATCAGTCATGGGAACCTACTGATGCCACAGCATTACCTCTACTATTGGAAACAGGGGGAGCTACAGAATCCTCACCATCAGGAGCCTCCTCAAAGTGGAAACAAGTTTATAGCAGGAAAAAGCTTCCTCAAAGTGTAAATAACCCAGAGCCTCTACTCTGCCAGGATTCTGAACCAAGTTCTAGTTCCAGCACCCTAACACTTGAGTGTCATGATAAAAATGATCTACACTTGCCCATTGCTCTCAGAAAAAGTCCTCGATCTTGTATTACTCATCCTATTTCTAATCATATTTCATATGAAAAGTTGTCCCCAGGGTTCCGAGCTTTCAATACTATGTTGGATAGTACAAAGATACCGAGAAATATACATAAGGCTCTCAATGATCAAAAATGGAGGGATAAATGAATGCTTTAGAAAGAAATGAATGCTTGGGAGATAGTGACCCTACCAAAACAGGCAGTAGGATGCAAATGGGTGTTTACAATAAAATTCAATGCAGATAATAGCATCAAGAGATACAAGGCAAGATTGGTTGCAAAGGGGTTCAAGAAGACTCATGGGATAGATTATCGTGAGACTTTTGCTCCAGTTGCTAAAGTCAATACCATCCGAGTTCTCTTATCACTTGCTGCCAACCTAGATTGGCCTCTGCAACAATTAGATGTGAAGAATGCATTCCTAAATGGTGCCTTACGTGAAGAGGTCTATATGGATCCTCCACCTGGTTTTGAAAAGGGAAATGGATCAGTGTGTAAACTAAAAAAGTCTCTATATGGGTTGAAACAGTCTCCTAGAGAATGGTTTGATAAATTCACACAAGCTGTCAAAGGAAGAGGCTTTATTCAAGCACATACTGATCATACTCTCTTCCACAAACACTCTAAGGATGGTAAAATTGCTATTCTTATTGTGTATGTAGATGATATAGTTCTTACAGGTGACGATAGTGAAGAATTGAACTCATTGTAGAAGTATCTGGCACCTCAGTTTGAACTGAAGGATCTTGGAACTCTCAAATATTTCCTTGGTATGGAAGTTGCTAGGAGCAAAACAAGCATCACTCTCACACAAAAGAAATATGTTCTAGATCTTTTGTTGGAAACAGAAATGTTAGGGTGTAAGCTTACTGAGACACCTGTGGAACCTAATACCAAGTTAGGTATTGAAGATGGGAATGAAGTGGATAAAGAGCAATATCAGAGATTGGTTGGAAAACTAATTTACTTATCTCACACACGACCTGACATTGCCTTTGCGGTGAGTATGATTAGTCAATTCATGCACTCACCCAAGGAGAAACATCTTAATGCAGTCTATAGGGTGCTTAGATACCTCAAGAACACTCCAAGAAGAGGATTATTCTTTACAAAGGGGTATAAAAGGACAATTGAAGTCTACACTGATGCAGATTGGGCAGGCTCATCAGTGGACAGGAGATCTACCTCAGGCTATTGCACCTATGTGTGGGGAAATCTTGTTACTTGGAGAAGCAAAAAGCAAACAGTGGTTGCAAGAAGTAGTGCTGAAGCAGAATTTCGAGCTTTAGCTCATGGAGTTTGTGAAGGAATCTAGTTGAAAAGACTTCTTCAAGAGTTGAAGATCTCATATTCCCTACTAATAAAACTATATTGTGACAACAAGGCAGCTGTTAGCATTGCTCAAAATCTTGTGCACCAAGTTCGAACAAAGCACGTGGAAGTTGATCGTCACTTCATCAAAGAAAAATTAGATGATGGAAGTGTGCGTATGATGTATGTTCCTACCAAAGAGCAGACTGCAGATATTCTCACTAAGAGTCTATACCATCCATCCTTTGAAGACTTGATTGGCAAGTTGGGAATGATCAACATTTACCTCCCAACTTGAGAGGGAGTGTAGGAAATTATAATTAAAAATAATCGTTGCTGAGGGTCTACATCGTCACTTCACCGTGCAGATATTTCCGTTTTTATTTTCTATTAATTAGTGGATAGGACTAATGACTCATTGCTGAGTCATCCTTATTAATTCTTTCTCATTCTCTCTTGTATAAATCTCTCTATCAGCGTAAATCATTGTTAATCAATATAGAAAAAACAATTCTTTTTATTTCAATACTAATAGCTTAAGCTTTTGTGAACCTTGAGATTCTTAAAGTGGGCATGAGCTGAACGCTAAAGGGAATTAAGAATTGGACTGTCTACAGATTATCAAAATTGCATACTGAATATTACCTTATGTACTTTTCACATGCACGGATCACATACAAAATACATACTCAAGTATGCAACTTGCAAGCACACATGGAATACTAAATGAGATTTGATCTCACAAACTGACGGGAACCTAACTTATATTCATATATAGCAGCTAGCCATTTTAATAAATTTGGCAATGGCTCTTGCACTGGAAATGCGGGTCAGCTATTGTTTGCCTGAGTTTCAAAAAGATTAATAAAAAAAAAAAGCAAAGGAGTGTGATTTCATAAATTCCATTAAGAGACACTAAGCCCAAACTAAAAGCTTGTAGAAACCTTTTCAATGAGATCCAATACATCTTGGTTATCTACAAATTCTAAGTAGCTCCAGTCAATGCCTTCTTTTGTGTATTCCTCTTGCTCCATCTTAAACACATGCTGCAGGACAGAACGTCGTCAGATTGCATGTTTAAGAGAAAAGTCATAGTTGAAGTTGTCAAATATTTTTAAAAACTAACCTCATACCTGGTTGAAGTGTTGCTGCAGCTTTTCATTTGTGAAATTAATACAAAACTGCTCAAAACTGCAAAGAGAGAATTAAATATCAGCTTGGCTTTATCTTATTTACTAAGGTACCAAAATGAAAGAGAGAGCTTGTTTTGCAAACTGAGGTTTCCAACTCAAAATATTAAAGGTATTGACAGGAGAAAGGTAATATTGAAGATAAGGAGTTCGACTCTAAGGTCAGTGAAAAGTAACAATGCTTAGGATAGGGACTGTGCAACTATATAAATGCACATATATATTAGCAAGAATGAATGTTGATTGTATCAGACCTTGTGTTTGTGCGTGCTCGTCTGTCCCTAAAATTAGAGTGTGCAAACATACAATGATCTATCCTCACCTATTAGTTCGAAAGCTTTCAAAGCCATATATGTCAAGAACGCCAATTAGACATTTTGAGCTAGAATCCTGCCCAATGGAGACATTAATTTTATGGACTAACCTGGACATAACAAAAAAACATAATTGTTATTGATCTTTTCATTTATAAGAAATGATTCAGACTTAAATAGCAATAATCAAACATTGTACATCTATATACATACATACGTACGTACACACACACATATATATATATATATCCCAATAGGGGGTGTTTACAATATATAATAAGAGCATAAGGGTAAAAAAAGGAAACAACATAAGTACAATATGTTAAAAAGAAGGTATCTATCCTAGTTGAACCAATAAATCCTAATTACAAGGATTTTCCAAATACAAAAACACATAACAAAACCATATTACCAGTCAAATAAACGAGAATATAGTGTCTTGGCTAAACCATCCCTGCTAACTGTTGCACCAAGAGGATCAAGACTTCTTTTGATGATTTCTTCTGGGGTAATCATCACGCGCCTACAAAGTGCATCTTCCAAAGCATTAGGATCACACCTGAAATAAGAATGAATCCAACAGATAAATAATATTAATATGAAGAAAGATATTGCACAATGATAACACCAATAATTCAGCCGTACATGAGAAGTTCTGCTGTTATTTGGAGATGGAACTTGGATTCTTCATCTTCTAAAACTGATGAATCAGTTTCTTCTTCGGATTTTGCAAACTTAATGTTTCCAAGATGAAGAATAGCAGCTATAACTCTGAAAATTGCATCCTGATAGGAAGGAGGAAGGAGATATATTACTAATCTTGTTAAGAAAGGAAGCTAAAAGAATTATCAGAATCACTAGCAAAGGTGATAGTCACACCTGCTCCTCCTGACTGATTCCCACAATATCCATGGCTCTCTTGGTGCTAAGATACTCTTGAGCAGCATTAACACCAGCTAATTCATAGCAACTGGATTGATTAAGGTAGTGAAATGATCTAGGATCTCCCAACTTATATTTCTCCTTTTCCTAACAAAAGCAATTAACAATTCAGAATGCCACCAAGAAATTTATATATGACACGAAGAGTAGCGAATAAAAGATCAAGTTGTGACTTGCCTACCTCTGGGGGAGAGGCACAGAGAAGGTAAAAACAGTGATAGTTACGCTCAGGATCTGAGATTTGGCAAACACGAGATTTCTCAAGAAGATAAGTTCTAATCGCTGCACCGGATATTCGTCCATACTTATCAAATTGAATCTCAACAAACTTTCCAAAACGGCTGCAGGAAAATAAAGTAAACAGAAGTAGGTACGAACAGCTACTTCTTGTTATTGAAACAGTTAATTCATACATGAGAAAGAACCTTTATGTGGCAAGGTACTTCTCACTGACCTTCAATATAAGTAGCATGAAAAGAAGAAATAGATCGTGATGAAAAAATTTTAATGAAAAATATTGTCCTCTTACATTTCCAAGAAGAACCAACTTTTTACCCAATAAAATTCATGACAAACTAAAAAGCATAGAATATGTATACGATGAAAAAGTCAAAAGGGAAAAGAAAAAGAGTCAAGTAATCAAAAATCTCCACATATCCATGATACCAGTATGAAATTAAATGATATACTAGAAATTACATGCATGGAAATGCAAGTGGAATGCTCAAGAAAATACTGTATACAAAGGATACACTTGACACGTACATTATGTAACATATCGAAAGACAAGCCTAATAGAGCATAACAACAAATTTCTTACCTGGAATTGTCATTTCTAACAGTTTTTGCATTACCAAATGCTTCAAGAACTGGGTTTGACTGCATCATTACGATTTAAAATCTTAGTAGGAATGATGAGTTTAACGTTCACCAACAATACACCACGAAAGAGGAATTAATTGACATATCAAAAGAGGGGTAATCAAAACCAGAAATTTATCTAACAGGAAAAAAATGCAAAGCTTCCTACTTAATATATAAGAAAAAATATTATTTGATATGATAAGGAGAATATAAAGAGGATTGCAAGGTATTAAGAAAAACAAAAAGTGAAAAGACTAGAGGAGGAGGTTGAACTAGTTTATTCCATGATCTAACCACAATCTAAATCCAGACATTATTAAAATATAGTGAGTCTATTTCACCAAACTCACTCACTTGAAATCATTCCAATTAGCCTCATTTGCTTCATCAAATGTCTGTTACCTATTATTATTCTAGTGTCAAGTCACTACAATAAGTATATTTTAGAATGTCCTAAAATAGGTCAGATCCATCTTGAACTTGAAGTGAACTGTTAAATTCATAAAAAAACCATGTGTTACCAGTGCTTTTCAAATGATGCGGCAGTGTAAGATACCAAGATATATTAACAATTTACAAAATTAGCAATAAATAAAAATCAATAATTTATTAGCTAACAGCTATCTAATTAAGCCTAAAAATCTTCATATTTGAATCCATTTTTTTCAGCTTTTAGTTAACATCAGTAATATATTTGGTCTTCATTATTGTTCATTACATGTCTTCAAAATTGTATTTTGAGTATCTAACTGTTAAAGATATATAAAATCATTAAGGTAGCCTCACCCAACAGCTTAAGCTTTTGGGTTGAATTGGTTCTTTACATAGTATCAGAGTCTCGGTACCACGGATTCGATCCTCACCGCTCCCCACTTTCTCTTGTGGAATTTCTTAGCACTGGTAGGTGGGCCTGTGCATTATACACTCTTCAAGTCCAGTGGGCTCTTGTGTGAGGGGGCGGGTTAGAAATATATAAAACCATTAAGGTAGCCTCACCCAACAGCTTAATCTTTTAGGTTAAATTGGTTCTTTACAATATCTTAAACGCTATGTTTCCTGGTATCGCTAAGTTGTTCTTGCTCTGGCCAAGAGAATGAATGCAGGTTCAAACAATGTCTCAATATAAGCCACAACCAAACATATAGAAGCAATAGCAACCATAATCCAGAGTTAGATAACCTTCTTACTTCTAGTACTTGTTGTTCAACAGTCCGTCCTTCAGATGCAGTGTGACCACCCAAATATGCCAGGTAACACATAAGCATTTTGGTGGTTTCTGTCTTACCAGCGCCACTCTCACCACTAACCAGAATAGAGTTGTTTTTCTCCTCAGTAATCATTTCCCTAATTTAAGCAAACAGGGGGCAATAAGAATACCATTTAATAAAAGAAAATTTGACGGTAAAATCAGAGAAAACTCACCTATATGCTGCTTCAGCAATAGCAAAAACATGTGGGCTTAAATCTCCAATTGTTGCTCCCTTGTAGATTTTCATCGCATTAGCATCATACAGGTGTGGAAGACTTTGGAAGGGATTGATTGCAATAAGAATATTTCCAGTATAAGTCTGCCATGATGTCAAATTATCACACAAGAGATCCCCATAGCTGCAGTAGTAAGTCATTGTCTTCCATAAGGGTGAACATTAACTGATTTCAAACTGAATGTGGGGCTAATCTTACATATATTTCATTGATCTTGTATCTATTTTCCAAATTATGCAGCACTCCTGGCTCATGCAAATAAGCAAGCTTGGTCATGTCATCAACTCCGTCAGTAGGAGCATCTGTATCCTTGGGATATAATTTTGACAAACGGGAAAAAACCTAATGAACATGGAAATAAAATAGAAGATAACTGATCCAGAAAACATGACCATACTTGTGTGCAGCGTTGTTGCTAATGAGAATAAAATCAGTTGTACTCTTAGTCTTATCGGGTGCAGTGTCTCTTGACAGAAGTAAGTGCTCAAATTGACGTCTTCAGACCACTTCTAATTTGCTTTTTTATAGATTTATAGTTCTTGAGAAGTGAGGAGTGACATAATGTCTGAGTTGAAATATTGAGAATCCTTAAAAATTAGGCCATCACAAAGTGGAACTAGAGACAACTAGAAACATAAGACTGAAAAGCTGTGAGTCTGTAACCTATAAAATATTTCAATTTACCTTCTTCCCATTGCTAGTTTGAATTTCAGCTTCCTCCCCATTAATATTCAGTACTTGTCCATCAATCCAGACTAATTCTGGATCTCCAACCCAAACATGAGAACCGACAACAATGTTTTCTGGAATGCCCTGTATCATTTGTAATCAAAAGTATTAAGAAAGTTCTTGGATTATAAGATATTTAAAAAAGCTAAAGAACAATCTGTATGTAGAACCAAGAAGAATATAGAAAATTCCAAGATGATTAATCAATTATTTGAATCAATATATATAGCAAAGAACAATCTGTATGTATTCCATTTTGTTAACATAAAATTACCTTCCAGGGTTTTATCAATATCTATCAACATATAAAGGTATAAATCTAAAGCCACAACAGAGAAAAAGAGGGCCAGTTTGTTGTGCTTGAAGTACCTTTTGTAGGGACCATGTGATATTGACCCAGAAAATAACATTATCTGTTCCGGTGTATATGGGTTTTAAGAAATAGTTTCTACTCCATGGTTTATGTTACAGGCCTTTGATGTGCAGGGACATATTTGAAGTTTGAGTAAAATTTCTGCATAATTTTCATTTTCATATCTAAAAAGTTTCAAACACAAAGTTAAAATGAAAAAATGCTGAGATAAGAGTCGAGGAAAATAAAAAGCAAATAGAGAAAATGTGGATGTGGTTATTTATTGAAGTGAATTTATTTTTTGAATTAAATTTATCAACATCAACATCAACAACACCTTTATCCCAAATTAATTGGGATCGGTGGTAGATGAACCCACATGAAAGATACAAAACGGTTGGAAAAAATAAAAAAAAAATAAAAAAAAATAAAAAAAAAATAAAAAAAAAATAAACAAATAAAATAAAAATATAAAATAAGATAAAATAAAATAACAATATATGTATATATAAATAAATAAAAGTAAAAAAGAAAGGGACAAGAAGAAGTGGGGGAAATGAAGGGGAAAAGGACTAAAAAGGGACCATCTGGAACATAGGAATAACAGTGGGTCTAACCCTCCACCATACTTATAGCTTTTCTCCATTCCGTTCTAAGACATATTGTCCGCCAATCTATATCCCACTCCATTAAATCTTGTTTTACTACTTTCCCCCAAGTAAGCTTCGGTCTACCTCTGTCTCTTTTTGTGTTGAGCTCTTGGTAACAAACTTCTGTTCTTACAGGAGCATCCATGGGTCTTCTCATCACGTGCCCAAACCACCTCAATCTATGTTCTCTCATCTTCTCGGCTACCGGTACTACTCCGACCTTTCGTCGAATATCTTCATTTCTTATCTTATCCATCCTTGTGTAACCACACATCCACCTTAACATCCTCATCTCTGCTACTCTCATCTTATGCTCATGTTGCCTATGTGCTGGCCAGCATTCTGCTCCATATAGCATTGCCGGTCTTACTGCCGTTTTATAGAATTTTCCTTTTAACTTCAGGGGGATTTTGCGGTCACACAAAAAAGCAGATGCACTGCGCCATTTCATCCACCCTGCTCTGATTCTGTGATTTACATCCTCATCAATCTCTCCACCGTTTTGTAAAATGAGGCCCAAGTATTTAAAAGCATCTTTTTTGGGTACCTCTTGACCATTTAGATGCACAGGTTCTTGGTCCTCATCTCGTACCAGAGAAAACTCACACTTCAGATACTCAGTCTTGCTTCGACTTAATGTGAATCCTCTGGATTCCAATGTGCTTCTCCACAATTCAAGTTTTCTATTAACACCCTCCTTGCTCTCATCAATAAGCACAATATCGTCTGCAAAAAGCATACACCATGGCACTTCCTCTTGAATATCTTTTGTTAGTTCATCCATAACTAAGGCAAAGAGGTAAGGACTTAGAGCCGACCCTTGGTGTACACCTACCGTGATAGGAAAATAACTTGATGATCCGTTACAACCTTTTACACATGTAGTAGCCCCATCATACATATCCTTGATTGCCTTTACATACTTTAATGGAACCTTTTTCTTCTCCAGGACCCACCATAAAACTTTCCTTGGAACCCTATCGTATGCTTTCTCAAGGTCTATGAACACCATATGCAAGTCCTTTTTCTTTTCTCGGTATCTTTCCATTAGTTGTCGCATCAAGAAAATTGCTTCCATGGTACATCTTCCTGGCATAAATCCAAATTGATTTACAAAAACCTTGGTATCTCTCCTCAAGCGATGTTCAATAACCCTCTCCCACAACTTCATAGTATGGCTCATTAGCTTAATGCCTCTATAGTTTGAACAATTCTGTATATCTCCCTTGTTTTTGTAGATAGGCACAATCATACTTTTCCTCCATACATCAGGCATCTTATTCGTCTGGAGAATCTTATTAAAAAGATTGGTCAACCATTTTATTGCCACATCCCCCAGGCCTCTCCACACTTCAATAGGGACACCATCAGGCCCTAAGGCTTTATTAGTCTTCATCCTCTTTAAAGCCTCCTTAACTTCATGTGTATTAATTCTGCGTACAAATCTTCTATTCACATCATCACACGCGTCCTCTAAGTCCACCTCGCTTGTATCTCCATCCCCATTATACAGCTTGTTGAAGTATTTCAACCACCTTTCATTTACATCTTCATCTCTCACCAGAAGTTTTTGATTTTCATCCTTGATGCATCTAACTTGGGTGAGGTCTTTACTTTTCTTATCCCTTATCTTTGCAAGTTTATAAATACCTCTTTCACCATCCTTGCTCCCAAGATTTTTATACAACTCGTCGAAAACCTTGCCTCTAGCTTCTCGCACTGCTTTCTTTGCATTTTTTCTCGCCAATCTAAACTTTTGCAGGTTCTCTGCACTGGGACTTTTATGCAAAGATCTAAAGCACTCCTTCTTATGTTTAATTGTCTCTTGCACCTCTCCATTCCACCACCATTTTGAATTAAATTTATAACACTTTAATTTTTATTTGTTTATTTCACGAACGTTTGAATAGGATAAGGATATTTCCTACAGATTAGACTCTCACTTCTACTAGGAAGGTCACTGTCAGAGTAACTAACATAGCACTGATCTGAAAATAAATCAAAATTCGATATTCAGGTTGGACATTGCAGAGAGAGAGAGAGAGAGAGAGAGAGATTGCCAGCATAATCTTGGCACCCCCCTCCTGGCCAACACCTGAATGCCCTGCTGCTGCCTTGGATGGCAGAAAATTCCTTTCCAACTCTGTGTTTAAATACCTAAAACATGATTTTGGAATTCCATAGCTGTTGACATGGAAATTATGAAGAATTTCAAGATCTGTAAAAAAATATTCACAACTAATTGGGGGAAAAATCGAACATTAACACACTTTTTCACTGAAAAATCTATCAACTAAGGATATTCATACAGAGGTAAGGTATATCAGTCTAATCGAAAGAAGCGAGAATCATCAAATTACTCATCATGATAACACTAACATACTTTTTTGGCGGCAGATTATATCAACTAACCAAAATTGATGCAGTAGAAGAAGCGGGAACTCAATTACCATTTCTTAGATATGAACCTTGGCTGAATAGGAATCACAGGCCAACAGAACCATGCGTGTACATTTTCAACGGATTGAAATCATGGATCGAGAATTGAACTTCAACTCGAACTATCGCACCCGATCTTGGATCAAGATTCGCGCAATGCTTGAAATTCTTAACAGATCGGAGTTCATTGCAAGAAAAATTGCTGCGGGAGAATGTGGTGAAAATCAGAGGCGATGAGATTAATGGTAGATGAACACAGAAATTTTGCTCGTCTTTGTGCTGCGCGATTGGAGGAGTGTGGTGTCGGTCTGGTGCTGGGGTTTGTGGAAGCGGAAATCTCAGAGGACCCTGCAAATTCGCCATGTTTGTGGAAATTCTTGTGGCTCGCACTCTTCCCTCCCCGTGGCGCATGGATTTCGCGGGCTCCAACCATATAACCTCTTTTTTCTTTTTCTTTTTGAAATAGATATAACCTTTTGAATATATACATATGCGTTTCTCATAAGTCACGATAAATACAATGTGAACCACGATAACTCCTACTTTTATCACCTTTTTATTTTAATAAAAACAAATAATTTAGCAAAGGTATTTTAATATCAAATTTTGAAAGAGATTTGTAGTCTTGGAGAAAACTTTTTTTATCCATTAATACATTTCTGTGTCATAATTGGAGGGATTAAAAATTATTAATGTTTTAATTATATAAGGAACAAATTAATAAATACTTTGAGTTTTTAATATATTAAATGTTTTATTATTTATATGATACTGAACCATATGTGTACATGATCATAATGTATGTGGTTGTACTTAAGCTTCGTGGAATGCTATAATGGTAGTGGCAGTACAATGCTCCTAATTCGTTCTCCAACGGATTAAAGAAGATTATGTACTTGCAAGATTTAATACACCTATGCTGGATAATGTATCGAGAACAGATATATTTTACTTTCAATATGTTGATTAGGAAAATTAAAAGCAAATTATATAAAAATTCATGCTTAAATTTATATTTTCCCAGACAAGGGGAGGAATGGTAAGAAAAACAAAATGCAGCTAAGGTGAAAGAAGGCAGAGGTTATTTTCTACGCAACCTCAAATTGAGTTCTATCCTACTTAAAAATAACCATCTGGTGGTAAGTATATTTATATTATTATATCTGTCTAAAAAAACTATAGTTATATGGACTTAAGTGTTATATGGAGAATGTTATTTTACACAATTTTTTATTTATTTTTACATTTTTTTAGATAATAAAATAGAACAAACATACTTTTAATACAAACTATTTCTCTTTCTTTTAAAAGGTATACAATTATGATGGGAAAAACTCATTTCCCATTATATATATATATATGAGTTTATCATCTATCATTTAACGTGATCACAAAAAATTTCCTACACAAATAACATTATCTGTGTGTGTGACCTGTTCAATATTCAAACATTTGGTCAAGAGTCAAATACCTGAAAAATGGGAGACCTCAGATTCAAGCTATCTTACATCTTTTTCAATAAGCTGGAAAAGAAAATGAAGTAATTCGTATCCGTCATCATTTCACCGTTATACATTTTCTTTTATTTCTATATGTAAAGAATGGACAAACATGAACTACGTCCGGCTCCTCCATAAGACATTAGATCATACTCTTTTATTTTCCTTCTCTTCAGCGGTCGGTCGGAGGATATCTTTGAAAAATAAAAAATAAAAAAATTATGGAATGAATACTACAGTAATTTGTTAATGATGTCACTAGCTATGTTGCATCGCCATTTCAAAAAATCTGAAGTGTCATATTTGATATTTCTTGACACTTCAACAAGTGTTGCAGAGACTCAAAAAAAGATTCAAAAAGTTATGTTGCGTTTTTAATTTTAATTATTAAATTTGTTAAATTACGATTATCATTTTATTGAGTTTAATATAAATATTTGGGATATCTTATGTTTCTTTGCAAAATTGATGGATATTATAAATTTAGCTTTTTCGAGCCGGATCTGGTGTATCATAAGGGATTTGCCTTTGTTAAATTATTGAATAAATATAATATATATTACATAAATTAAAAATATTATTTGATATCATAACGTGTCCTAATATGTCAAAATCTAATATTTTTTAGAATTAATGTGTCGAAGTGTTGTGTGGTGTCCCGTGTCGGTGCAACATAGATCGTTAGATAGTGTATAATTTCCGGTAATTAAGCTCTAATTACGTACAAGTCTAAAACTTTGCTTTAATTAAAAAACAGAATAGTGGCCTACTAGTACTAAAAAAAACAGAATAGTTTCCGATTTTAAATTTAATTGACTGTTAATTTTTAATATTGTTATTTAATTATATGTTAACACAATATTAAAAAATTAAAATCTTTATTTACCCAAAAAAATTTAAACTCTGTTATTAACTTATTAATTAATACATGATTAATTAGTGATATAATTAAAAATTCACACTATAATTAATGAAACTTGAATTTTTATTTTATATTCCTTGTAATATTGACATGTGAAACCAATAATATTATAAATATATGTCAAGTCTATTAAATAAAAAAAATGTGACGAAATAAATTAAAACACTCGTTTAGTTTTTGTTTTATCCGACCGAAATATTAAATTTACATTAATTAGCTAGGCTTGATATACTTTTGAAACTTTTAAATATATGCATGGGCTGAATAGGTTGGGCTGGGCTACACTTTCATTTAAATAGGACAGTTTTTCGTAAAATACTTTAGGCCTAATCTGGTCTATTAGTCTTGAGTAAGTTCAAATTATAAGTCTGCCTTGAATTATATTTAAAAAAAAAATTGGTCTAGATCTGTTAACCTGTGTAAGACTAATAGGCATTCAATAATTAAAATAATATTACTTTATTATTCAGAATTATTAAAATGATAATTTATTATTTTATTTAAAATAAGTAATATGATATAGGCTAGCCTGTAAACTTATAGACCCGGCATGTAAAAGAAAACATATGGTCTGCTTTTTAAACAGACTTTTTTAAGCCTGAACCCTCTTCTATTTGACTGTATATAATAAGCTGAGTCTAACCTGTCGTAAACCTAACAGTAGGCCCATGTTCATGTTCAGTTGATTGATTCATTTACACTCCTTAATACAAAGTGGCATTTACTAGGCTTCAATTGTAATAGGAATTATACTTAAAAGCAAATGTTACAATTGATAATAGAATGCTTGGAACAATAACTCAATTGTGATTGCTTTGAATCTTCAAATGTATATAATGTGTGCCTGAATTAATATGACAGCAATTTGGGTTAAGATTTTATTACATATTTCGTGAACTCATCAGCCAAAAAAATACATGAATAAAAGAATCTTTGTGAGGAAAAATAAAAAAAATAGTTGTATGGGTGAGCAATAATGAAAAGGCTAGGTGAGTCATTTACAAAAAAGAATGTAAGATTAGGGATGAATAGGATCGGGAGATGATGGTTTCGAAGGACCTCGTGGAAGGAACTCAAACAGAAGACTATCAGATTCCCTCGACCATTGATCATCTTGTAAAGGCCTGCAGCTTGTTCCAAGTTGAGAAGAAGCGACCAGAATGGTGAAGATGATTACTAGAATTGTGAAAAGGATCCTCTTGTAACCCATGCCTAATAACTCTCTGTAATGTAATTCTATGAAATAAAAATGTACCTCTAAACCTTTGTTATATATGCTTTTGCCTCTTGCTAGCTTTTGGACGAGTTTTTTTTTCCGTTAGAAGTGATATTTGAGATGGGGATATATGGTTGTGGAACACACATACATATATATATATTAACGGAGCCTTTGGTGGTATTACTCGTTTAGCATGACTGAGTAATATGCATGGTTTGAACTTGAAGATTGAAAATTGAACGAATCAAAATTCAAATACAGCACCTTGGGCACCAAACAATATTAAAATTACGAGTTCTGTTAGATAAGTCAACTACTAAAATTCTTTTCTTTTCTTTTTTTGGTGTAATACTAAAATTCTATTTTATTATTATACATTAGTCATTTCACCAATACGCAAATATAGTTTTCACTTTTCAACAAAGACCAAGCCGTAGTAAAGGAAATGGAAATAAAAATACCATTAAATATAATTAATTGTTTTCCGTTGACAACAAAACCTTTTTCTTCCTTTGAATAAGTAACTTGACCAGACGTACTTTTCGAACGAATCAAAATCCAAGAGTGAAATTATTTTAAATTTGTAAGCTGATGTCAAAAGACAGTCGTTAACATCATGCGCGATCTTGTTAATCCACCGATATTGAATCACACATAAATAACAACAACGTCTTGTTGCATGCCAACGTACGACATATAAGAATAACATCAGGTATTTTACACAAATCGCTTACAATTGATTGTTCACCATAAATTTCATATAATTACTTTTAAACTAATTGATTACCTTCTAAATCAATTAAATTATATAATTAATTCAATTAATATTAATTACAATTAGGATATGTTGTAATTTCTGAGTTGCTTGTGCTAGCAAGTTTGTACTGTTGATATTATTTAACAGTCATACATAGCATCTTATAACTAATTCCTCCTCTATGTTTGCACAGTGGCCTCATATGTTCCTCATTTGCCTATCTGAAGAGTGACAAACACTCAGACGAAGAAAATTATGTTAATTTAACTCATCATATATATATATATATATATATATATATATATATATATATATATATATATATATATATATATATGTTTCCATTTCGAATATTATGTGATTCAATTTTGATTAAATTATAAATTTTATTGATTGAAACAATCAAATTATAATTCAAAAGTATTATTGGTTTAATTTTCACGCAATTTTAAAACATTGGTTAATTTTAACTTCAATGTACTAAAGTTTAAAAGTCACTATATGATCGTTCGTGAACCCTTCCTGAAGATCATTTCAAAAGTACTGAAATTGTTAATAATTCAGCTAAAATTGATGGTGAAGAGATCATATATGCTATACATGTGATTGTTTTCCGGAAAAAAAAAAAAAAAAACATAACAACATGTAGATACATTTGTGGGAAAAGGATTTTTTTATTTTAAATGACATAAAGTTATGTCATTTTAAGAGAGAGATAAACACACAATAATTTTTTTATTTGAAATTTAAATTAAAAAAAATCACCCGCTTTCTCTCTCTTATGTTTTTCATTTTTTGTGTCTATCTCTCTC